CTGCTGAACTAGTTGCAAGGAATTCCTTGGGCTGGGCAGAACAGACGGTTATTTTTGCTTTTCTGATCTTGCACAGAAGTGGTCAGACTCATGACTTCTGGGAAATGCTGAATGGGACTGGAATGTCATCAAGTTTCATAGCTGACCGTTTATTCTTCCTCTTGATCTACTTTCTCTGCTTGGACTTGATGCAGCTGATGTTGCAAGCCGTAGGAGGCTGGCTTGCTGGGCTGTTTCCTGTTCCCAGTATGCTCATTCTTACCCTGCACTGTGAAGATGGTCCCAGACCATGTCTGAATTGGGTGAATGTGGACTCTGGAGGGCTGAAACTGGAGTGTCTTTCAGCTGTCTTGCTTTTGATGCTGCTGCTGTAGCAATCCTTCTGTTACATGCCATGTGCGTATTGTGGCTTCTTGGCATCTTCAGCCCATGTCAGCCTGACCTGAACTGATGTAAGAACCCTTCGTGTCTCACCAGATACAAAAGTTGCATGCCTGGAGGTGCCTTATGTTTTGCCTCTGGTCTGTGGCATCCTGACTGTGACAGGGGCCGCAGTCTGAAAAACATGAGTGTATATCATGGGAGGAAGACGACTGGACTTCCTGACCTTGAGCTCTGTGTCAGTGTTGGTGTGAGGAGACCTCCCTTCCCTTCCCCTCACACCTCGGCCCCTCCTGAACACGCAGTAACCTGTTCCAGTGTAAGGCTGATGTTTCCACTTGTTTTGTGTCCGTGTATATTGCTCTCCAGCAAAAGCATCTTTATTTCAGACAGCAATCCTAAAATTCAGGCCATCCAAAGAAAAGCCGAGCAGCTGCCAAGTGACTTTTGGCTGCCTTTGTCACATGAAGGCACTGTGTCTGCTGCACGCCATCGAGTTTTGGTCGTGTCTGTGCATGCCACAAAGCAGCGACGTTGCTTGCCATAAATTACTCCTGTCTGAGTGAGCCCAGGTGCAGTCTGCTGTGACTGCTTGGGGAAAGCAGTGTGCATATGTGAGTTTACATCAGAGCTGTTGTCATTTTTATGTGGCTAAAAATTTGCACTGATACCTAAAAACGTCAGTGAGTAGTTCTGTTTTCTAAAGACTGCTTTTTTGTTTGCGCTTATCTAGCTTGTTTCCTCTTGTGACCTTGCCTTTAAAGAGATGGAAAGAGCTAATCGGCTATTTGCCAGGTAACGAAGAACATTAAAGGATTGGGCAGCCTGGTCATGAGGAGGCAGTTGTACTCCTGAGAGCCCACAGCCTGGCCTCAGCTTAAGGAAACAGCTGTAGTGCAGCAGACGGCTTTTAGCCTCTTAAATCCCATCCAATTCACTTTTGAACAACTCCTAAAGCAATATGAATCCTGATCTCTGTTGGCAAAGACTTATCAGTTAGTTTGGTTCAACTTTTAGTTTATTTAAGAAATTGAATCTGGTATCGTTGTTTCCCTCCTGCAGGAGCAACAATGGATTGGCCCCAACAAAGATCTAGCAGGTGTTGGGAGAAGACATCCCATCTGAAATGGAGGTGATCTAAGGAGCTGAACATTGAATATACCACCATGGGGTTGCGGCTGCTGGCTTGTCTTTTTCATTTGCCCACTGCAGTGATCTACGGGTCCCTGTCGCTGTTTGTTTCCATTTTGCACAATGTATTCCTCCTGTACTACGTGGACACCTTTGTCTCGGTTTACAAGATTGATAAGCTGTCCTTTTGGATAGGAGAGGTTAGTCTTTTCCATGGATTTCTGCCCTCTTACGTAAAAAATTCTGAAGCCACGACTGCTCCGTGCTAAAAGTGGAAGGACTGTTTGTTGTAATTAGCTGCATTTCCTCTTCGGGAGAGGAGTGAGGGAGTCCTCCGAGTGCTAACTTGGGCTCTTTATTTTTTCACACTCACATAAACAGAGAACAAGCTGGGATAGAAATCCCAGAGACTTTGTTCTTAAGTTAGCCTTTCCTTGGGGTGGAGCGGGCACAGCATTTTACAGACTGCGAAAACCACTGGCCTCACTGTTTCAGTCTGTCAGCTGTTATAGCCAGGAGAGTTGTACGGCAGTGATGGGGGTGGGAAGGTGAGCTGAAAGGGTTCCTGCTAGTTGTTTGCTGTGCCAGCTGAGCACTGGTTGCTTCAGAAGCAAGACTGGGTCTCTGCAGGAGCTCACTGCGGTTTGTTTCGTTGTTCTGTCTTCCTTCCTAGACTGTGTTTCTGATCTGGAACAGCCTCAACGACCCTCTGTTTGGCTGGCTGAGTGACCGGGTCTTCCTTAGCACACAGCAGTAAGTTCCATTTTTAGCAGAGGCTATGAAACTGTTCGCTCTCTGGGGGAGATGATGTGCGAGTGACAGCTTTAAAATGGTGGGAATGTTTGCTAGAGCACGGAACTCATAAATACCACCTTTTCTTAGTACCTTGGGAGTTCACTGCTCTTCACGTTTTAGTTCAGTACCTGGCTGTGTAGGGGAAGTCACACATCTCCATGGGTAGATGTGACTCTAACTCATTGCAATTACATGAGAGGTACTGAAGCTAAAATATAGGCATCTAAAATCTGAAGCCTCTACTACATGAGCGAGCCTCTTAGCGGGGCATTGGAAAGTATCTGTGTGTGGTTTGGGAGACAAAGTGGGGAGAAAGGACAATGACTCCCATCTGGAATGCCTCAAATCACTCCCCCTGGATCGTGGATCGCTGTTGGCCATTAGTGTTTCTTGTGTACTGCCTTCAAGCTTTTAATGAAACTCATGGCAAGGCTCCTTGCACTAT